GCGCAGGAGAGCACTGTGGGGAGTGTTTGAGCGGAACGCGGAGAAAGAGAGAAGTGGGGGATTAGAAGGACGTACGTTGAAATTGGACGTTGGTGGCGAAGGGCGCGAGGTGCGAGGTCTTGAAGGCGCGGTTGGGCGGAATGTGGTCTGTGGGGAGGGGCCCGTCAACGGCGAAGTTGGTGAGGTTGAGCGCGGTGATGACTAGCGTGTGGTTCGTTGAGTATTGGCAGCTTCTACGGAGCGGGAAGGCAGAGGGACGCACCGTTGAGCACGACGACCTCGTGTGTGGCGTCGACGTACAAGCTTTGGTCTAGCGGGAACGTCGCGGGGTTGTCATCTAGGGTCGAGTTGGTAGAGGAATTGTGGGATGGGATGAAAGCATGTGTGAGGCGTGCGACGAGCTCCTGAACGTAGCCGATCCCTAGTGCGCGAGCGACAGGGGATCCGAAGGCGGAGTTGTACCAGAAGTAGAGGTCGACTCTGGGGAAGCCGTCGGCGGCAGAAAGGACGTGAGGAAACGTGGGGGCTTACGCATAATCAAAGCCTTCCCACTCCTTTTCGGTGAATAGCTCGCAGAACCTGGAGTAGCCGAGAGCTACTGTCTGCGGCGACGATGAGTGGGTGCAAAATAGGGCGTAGCGTGAAATGTACCTCGTATGCGCACAGTTGTTGCATGGTGTATACATCTTCGATCGAGAGATTGATGCCGTCGACTTGCGGACGGAGGCGGGCAAGCGCATCTGGGAGGTACACCTCCGCCCACTGCCGGACGTAAGGGATCGCGCGGTCGCCCTTGGTGCTGTCGTGTGCGTTTGGACATGTCTTTGAGGGGGCGAGTGTGTTGTTGAAGCCGTGGTCCTCGATCGTGATCAGCTGCTGATATTTGCCGTCGAGCGGGTGGCCGAAGAAGCCAAGAGCAAAGTTGAGGGCGGAGGAGAGCATGCGGTCTTGAGATTCGGTGCGGAAGACGGGAAGGGTATGGGACTGGGAAAAGTTGTGGAGGAGAAAGCCATAGTTGATGCGCATGGAGACGCCGAGGTCGTCTGAGGAAAAGTGAGGATAGTGAGGATGAGAATCAGAGGGTGTGGGATGGGGACTCACAGAGCTGTTGGCGGCCAAAGGGCGTGAGGATTTCCTCGCCGAGCTTATACGACCTGAGAAGGGTGAGAGGGTGGTGGAGCAAACGTGGAAAAAGGACGGACCAGTGATTGAGAAATTCGAGTTGACCGCGGGCTTTCCAGGAGTGGGATGAGTGGGTGAGGCGGGCGAAGAAGTTGGCGGGGCCGCCATAGGTCGCCTGTCCGGTGGGATAGCGAGCACCGTGGCGATGGAGGAGATGAAGGGCGGTGAGAGAGCACTGCTGGGGCGGTTCGGGGCCACAGTCGAGACCGAAGGCGGAGCGGGGGACAGAGAACCAGGGAGAGAGGTTGCCCCAGCGGGTAAAGATGTCAAAGTCGGAGCTGGAGAGAGCTTCGGGGGCGAGAAGGTGAGGTGCGCCGGAGTGGAAGGGGTACGAGGGCGCGGTCGCGATCACGGCGGGCTCTGCGCCGGTCGGGGTAGGGCCTGCATGGCCGACGTCGGAGGGGAAGAGGTCGGGAAAAGCGTTGGTCGGCGAGGGCGGCGGGTAGTGGTGCGCAGCGGACGACTGCAAGGCGACGGTGGGCGGACGAGGGTGTCGGATGGCGACGGTGTCGGGGATGGCGAGAGTGTAGGCGAGTCTGAGCGCGAAGGCGGAGAGGAGACCGGCGGCGTACGCGAGCACGATGGGCCGTCTGGTGCGGGTCGTCTGCGGAGCGTCGTGCTCGGGTGCTTTGAAATTGTCGTACGCGCCGTGCATGGCGACGCTGGCGGGTGCTTGCTCGTCGTCGTCGGCCTCGTCGGCGTTGTGATCAGCGTCGGGGTCGGTCCGCGCAGAGGGTGCGATCACGTGCGACACACGCGACGCGCCTCTCTAAATGCGACCTTGGTTATGTTTAAAATTGATGCCAACATTTATCGCCCAACATAATCATCTCTCACCGTACATCGCGAGTGCTACGTCTGTTTAAATCCCAACATTTACCGCACAAGCACAGTCATCCACCGACTCTGCCATCCCTTCCCTCACATCTCTCCGCGAGCTCTCTGTGATCCGTACCTCCTGGGCCTCCCGAGCGCCGATGCCGACCGTGTCGTGCTGCGCGCTGCCGGGACTGAACATGTGCACATGCTTGGGCCCGCACTCGTGCACGTCCAGCTCCAAGTATGCCCGGGCGACCCGCAGCGGTCCCCCCAGGACGCGCGTTTTGTGGCCTTTCGTCCAGGGAATGGCGCTGCTTGAGCTCGCGATCGACGGCCAGTTCTTCCTTGCGGAGCACGTCCGCGTTGGTGACGGTTGCTTTGGGTTATTGACGGGGTGTGAATTTGAAAGGACGAGCCGCTGGGCGAGTTCAAGTGGTGCCCGCATCGCACACTGACGATGCATCTGTATACGGAGTGGTTCCAAAGCGGCTGGGTCGCGCAGGGCGTTCAGTCGGAGGATCATTGTCCGCTGCTTAGGGCAGAAGGCGCCCTTGAGCGGGTTGACCATGGCAAATGTCCCGTGCGATGCCGACCCTCGCGCGGGCGAGTACCACTATACAGGGGCCCGGGGAAGAGTGTCGAGGACGCCGGTCTTGGAGGGAAGACCAGTGCGAGTGGAGGTGTTCACTCGGCCCTCGCCCCTCTAGCGTGCTTTCTACTGCTCGGTGGTAGGCGTGCCACTGATGCTGGCCTTGGCGGGAGCATCTTACGACAGTGCATCTATTTACATGGGTTACATGCCGGGTTTGGGTCCAGGCGGCGGGGATGGCTTTTCCCCGAGACCAGAGCTCAAACGTCTCTAAATATCAAGTTATACGCATGCACAGTATTGTATTGGGTTTTGAACAACGAGAAGGCGTGCATTATGTGTCGGCTGCGGCCTGGGCAGCTGGGACGTTGGACAGCAGGACGCCGACTTTGCGGCCGACGTGGCTCGCGAAGCTCTCGAACAGCGCGCGGTCGCGTCCGCGCAGCCAGTCGAACACGAGCGACACCGGCGCATCTAGGCTGGCGGGCGGCCGTGCTTCGCACCGGATCCGGCAGACGAGCGATGGGGACGGCGGCGGGCGAGCGTCGACGTCCATTTGGCGCTGGGTCCGCCGGCGGGCAGCGCGGGACCAGGTGTCGGTGGTGAGGGTGAGGACGGCGTCGAGCGGGGAGTCGGACGCTGGTGGTGCGGTGGAGCGCGTGCGGAGGCCGGAGATGGAGGCAAGGGTGGCGCAGATGGCAGTGGACGCGTGGGCGGCGGAGTGCGCGCGGGGGAGAGGCTGGCACAGGGTGTTTCGGGGCGGCATGAGATGCTGTATGCCTGGATGGGACAGGCGTGCTAGGGACTGAGGGGAGGCCTGAGTGGAGATGGAGACGGAGGGGCGAGGAGGACGTACGTCTGGGAGACGGATATCTGAAAAAGACCAGGCAATGACCCATCGCCGTGTGTGTCCCTGGACTAGCTCGGTGGTGGCGTAGTTGTCGATCTGTGTGCTTGTGAGAGAGTTATGGAGGGTGAGGGAACACGGGCGTACATTGTGATTCCGGAAGGTCTGGACCAGGTCGGTCAGAGAAGACATTTTTCCGAGCATCGATGTGAACCACCTGTGAGTTATGCATCTGTCGATTCCGACCGCGGATGGTGTGTTGTGACGGTGACGTACCTGCACCTGTCTCGCGCCTGCAGGCTTTCGTTTACCATCTGGATGACGAAAGCGGCCTCGCCTCCGGGAGTGATCATCTCGACGTCCGCGCCGGTGCATACCTTGCGCGCGCATGAGCCCCAACGTAGTTGGGCGGTGGGCGGTGAGTACGTACTGCGTGCGGACCTGTTTCTTTTGCTTCTGCAGACTGCTGGACTTCTTCACGGCTGCCATAAAAGGGCGGGTTGCACATTGTGAAGTCGTAGGACGGGCCGTCGCTGTATTTTGTTTGAGCGAGAATGCATGATCGAGACACGCCGTGAACCGACCTCTCGAGGAGTGGTGCGAGAATGGGCGCGGCGGGGTCCGCTTTGCGGACGTCGATTCTATCCTGCAGTCCGTTCTGGCGTACGTTGTCGCGGGCGGACTGGAGGGAGAGCTCGTCAATGTCTGCGCGGGTGAATGAGTGCGGTACCAAAATGAGAGGGGGAGAGGGGGCGAACCGGTGGCGACAAAGGTCCATTCGGGGCATGTGCGGCATCCGAGGAGGGGATAGATGGCGGATGCGCCTGTTCCGCTGTGAGGAAGGAGTAAGCGGCTGTGAGTGTGATGACGAAAGGTGGAGGAGACATGCATGTCCAAGGCATGGGCGGGCGGCGGTGGGTCTTGACCGAGGGCGAGCGAGACGAGGCGTGCGAGATCGTGTAGCCAGAGGATGTAGTTGAGTCTGTGGGAGTGTGATTGGCGGTGAATGCTGAGAGGCGAAGGTTGGGAGCGAGAGCGGGTACCTGTTCGGAACCTGTGGGGCCGTCAACAGGGATGATATTGCGAGGGTGGACGAACAGTGGGTACCGGTGGGCAGAGCCGGGTGGGAGGGAGGGAGACGCGGATGGCAAAGTCGTGGAGGAGGATGGCCTCGGTGAGTGCGCTGTGTGGTGTTTGCAATGAGCATAGGTGAAGGGCGAGGGGGGCGTGGTGGTGTACCGCTGGGAGGCGTCGTTCTTGAAGTCGATTGTGGGACCGTTCGGAGTGCGGATGATGCTGTGTACTGGCTGTTAGCGTGGGCGTGGACGTGGGCTGGTGCGAGGACTTACTGGGGAGTGAGCGGGGGATGGGCGCGGGCGAGGGCGAGGAAGTCTGGCGGAGTCCGGTTCTGGTTCTGGTTCTGGTTCTGGATCTGGATCTGGTTCTGCCCGTGCATCCTTCTTGTCGTGGTTGGACGAGAGAGAGAGAGAGCTCTGTTTGTGTTTGTGTTTGTGTTTGTGTCGGTGTTTGGATGAGTGGAGCAAAGGGAGAGCGGGCGAAAAAGGGCCCAACCGGGATTCGAACCCGGGATCCCTTGCAATCGGATAAAGCTCCCAAAGCAAGTATCTTACCTCTAGACCATTGGGCCGTTGATTGGAAGCCTACATCTGGAGACATAGCATTTTCTGTGCAGACCACGACGTCATCCCGCTCCTCTGCCCCCTCGCTCACAGTCTCGACCCTTTCTCCTCCTTCTCATCTCTCACTCCTCCTCCTCCTCCTCCTCATCTCTCACCACGACGTTCACAACGAACCCAACAGCGTCCTCCACGACAATCACAAAGGCGACCATGTCCTCCCGCTCGCCCACATACCCGCCCTCGGCCCTCCTCCCCGACTCTCCCGCCCCCGCCCCGGACCCCGTCCACTCCCAGCCCTCTCCCGTCCCCACCATGTCCGAGTCCATCCCCGCAAAGGCCGAACAGCAGACCGGCCCCGCCCAGCGCATCCGCGGAGGCTGCGTCCCGTGCCCCGTACGTGTCGCCTCCACTCTTCCAAGCAGCACCCCGACTCACCCGTTCCCTTCCACCCAGGACGGCAGCATATGCTACATCATCCCCATTCCTTGTTTCTGCTGTTGACCCCCATCGTCCCATTCCCATCTCGTCCGCAAACAGTCAAAGTCCGTGTGCCCTCTCCTCCATCGACGCCCTTCACGGGCTCACGCAGCAACCCCGTCTACAGTTTTTCGCCACCATCCCGCCTCTTCGATTTGTGTTCCAAGTCCGTTGTAGCATTTACCGTGTATCTCTACATATCGCACTCGGACATGTATCCCATAATATCAATATCCTCTGTTTGATCTCGTCCAGCGCAGTCGCGCTTCCTCTCACCTTGTGCACGAACCGCCACCACCAACTCGCTCTCCCCGCCCTCTCAACGTCTCGTCCCGTCGTACATGTCGCTCTAGTCTGCTCTTGCTCTAGCCCGCTCTTGCTCTTGTATACATCATCTCTCTCTCTCGCACAATCCGCAGCATATGGACAAGTTCGCAACCCTCGAGCCCGTTCGGCTACACAACGCCCCTCCTCCCCCGTCCACTCCCAAGTTCTCCAAGCGTTTCTCGACGTCCACAAAGCAGAGCGCCACGCTCCCCTCCAGCCGCGCCCGCGCTCCCGCCCCCTTCCAGGTCATCGGCCGTCTCCCCGTCGACGTCCACATCCTCATCCTCACCTTCCTCGCCGTACCCGACATCCCCGCCTATGCCCGCTGTTCCCGCGCCCTCGGCAACCTCGCCCGCGACGAGCGCGTATGGGAGGCCCGCTGGAAAGCGTTCGGGCTCAAACGCGCCCGCCTCGACCTCGTCCTCGACGCCCTCGACGACAAGCTCAAGGCGCACAACGAGCCCAACCGCACACACGCCCCGCCCGCGCCAGACAGCCTGGACGACGACTTTGGCGACTTTGCCGCTGTGGGTGCTCACCCGGAGGAGATGGGCGACTTTGCGGGCGGCTTCAGCCTGTCGATGCTCGGCTTTGGGACCGCGCCGTCGGCAGGGACGAAGACCTGCCGCGCGATGTACATCCGCGCCCACGCCCTTCTCAAGCCCCTCCTTGCTGCGCTCGAGGCCCCGCCCCACGCTGTCCTCTCTAGCCTCTTTCCGTCCCCGGCCCCTCCCCTCCGCAGCCAGGCGCACACCCTCCGTCTGCTCTCGCGCTTCCTCTCGCCCGCGGTGAAGCCGCTGAAGAAGTGGGAGACGCTCGGCTCCGCGCTCCGTGCCGCCATTGATAGGTTCGAGGACGGGCTGCTCACGGCGTTTGACGTCGCCGACGGCAAGGGCGACGAGGCGGGGATGCGCGAGGCCGCGGAGGCGAGTTGGGAGGTCTGGGACGGCGCGGGCGCCGAGTGGGAGCTCGGCAAGGTCTGGGCGGAGAAGCGGGAGATCTTCTACGAGCAGAGCAAGTGGAAGCCGCTGGACAACTTTACGTGCGTCGCCGTGCCGCCTGTGCCGCTTTACAGGCTGTCTGACCCGTTCGCGCAGGGCAGAGGAGGAGCTGGACTTTACGGCGATGGACGAGTTCGTCGCGGAGATATTGGGCGCGCTCGAGGAGCATGGCTCGCGCGCGGTACGCGTCTTTCCGCCAGACGCGAATGTGCTCCTCGCGTTCGCGGACCGGCTCGCGAACGAAGTGGTCAGTCCTCGTTCGTCCTCGGCAGGTGCGCTCTGACGCTGCTCAGGTAGGAGAATACGTCACGTCGCTGCTGACTCGCGCGCGCGAGATCTCCAACGAGATTTTTCTCAAGGCGTCCGCGGCGAGTTTCAAGGAGACGTGGCGGATGGTGGACGTCATCCTCCATGTCGCGTCTGCAAAGGACCCGCAGTTTCCGAAGACCAAGGCGGAAGATGTCATGTCAGTCTGCCTCTCGCCGCGTGCGCTGCGGCCTGCTCATGGTTATATAGTTATCGAATGTTCGAGCCGAACATGGACGAGTACCTCGACGAGGAAGTCGAGTTCGTCAAACAGAGCTTCGAGATGACATGTCGAGCATGGGAGAAGACCGTACGTTGTCTCCCGGCTCTCGGGGCTTGCCTGTTCTGACACCGCCCGCAGCTTTCTGAACACAGCGCCGCAGCAAACGCGGTGCCCAACGCAGATACCGCGCGTTTCCTCGGCTCGCACAACCCCGCCCAGGTGAAGCGCACGGTGCTCGCGTCCTTCACGGACGTGCTGCTGCTGCCTGTCACCATCGTCCCGCGCACCGTCGGCAAGGCGGTCGGCGCGGCGATCACGACGGGCAGCAGCGCGGCCGTGCAGGGGATCGCGATGCTCAACCCGCAGCGGTGGGGTGGGACGGGCTCGGTCGGGCAGAAGCCGTTCCCGTTCGCGCGCATGTCATCGTGGAACGCGAACGGCAAGGACGGGTATGTGCGCGACTTTGAAAAGGGCGGGGAAGAGGCGCTGTTCGATGTCGGCGCGGACGAGGAGGACGAGGAGCCTGTGAAGGCGTTCAACAACGAAAACAAGCGGGAGAGCACGGCGACGGCGCGATGTGAGTGTGTCCCGTCGTCGTGTGCGCACGGGAGCTGACGAGACGGGAGCAGCATCGATGACCGCCGACTCGCTGAGTACTGCGCCGACGTCGGTGGAGTCTACACGCAGCCCGGGGCTGAATCCGAACGCGCCGCCTGCGCTCGACAACCTGGACCTCCTGCTCTCGCTCGACACCGCGCTGGAGCTCATCCATGCGGACCGCGAGTCGATGAAACGCGCGGAGACGTTCTCGGGCTATCCGGGCGCATACGGACATCGTGTCCGGGACACGATCGAGGAGATTTTTGTGCTGCTGCTGCAGGCCTTGGGCGAGCGGCACATCAAGCCCGGGTTCGAGAGGTGCGTCGCGGTCCACGCGCACGACGAACGTTGTGCTGACAGTGGGACAGCGCGATTCAGCAGATGAAGGCGTATCAGCCGGAGGCGCACGAGGAGACGAAGAGCGTCGCACCGTTGCTCCAATTCTTTGAGCTCGTGCACGTTGGGGACACGATGCAGTCTATGGTGCAGGTGTACTTTGACAAGGAGCTGGTGCGCTGCTCGCATTGAGGCTGCATCCCCTGAGCTGACTGGTCTGGGCAGGCATCGCACATTGACCGGCACGACTTTCTGAACACGGTGGTGCGGGAGAAGAAGCACTTTGAGGACGTGCTGGATGACTGCGTCGCGGGTGGGCTGAACGCAGCCACGGACGCGCTGATGAACCAGGTGGGATCGCTCGGACGATTCGCACACGTGGATTACTGACGCGGTGTGCTGCCAGGTCGAACACATTATTCAGAAGCTGACGAAGCCACGAGAGTACTACCCGCCAGAGGACAGCCCGCTTGAGCTCGGGCCCACGGCGGGGTGCCGGGAGGCGATCAAGTGCCTGCAGATGCACTGCCAGCTGCTGAAGGGGAGCACGAGCAAGGAGGTGTTGGAAGTGTTTTATCAGGAAGTGGGGATCCGGCTTATCGCGTGAGTGGTGCGGCGGCGAGCTATGCACAGGAGGGAGCTAACGCGAAGGGGACGGGCAGGATCCTGCAGAAACACCTGAAGCGGCAGATCATCTCGCTGAACGGGGGATTCCAAGTGATCGCGGATCTGAACGCGTACCACGCATTTATTGCGTCGCTGCGCGTGGCGAGCATCGCGTCTGAGTTTGCGTACCTGAAGATGCTCGGGCACGTCTACGTCGTGGAGGACGCGAAGGACCTCGCACAGATCGTGCGGGACGTGACGCGCTATGGGGGCGCGTATCGGCCAGAGGTGCGCATTAGCGTCGTTGTGTTTTGGCTGAGCTGACGGACGGACGCAGGACATTTACGAATTTATTCAGCGACGGTCTGACTGGAAGAAGATTGAGAAGACGGTGGACAAGACGATGTACAACCTTTCCTTCAAGGAGGACTGCGTGATCGCATAGACGCCCGCAGCGACGGACGTCGGTCTGCGGGCGGGCGCTCGTTCAGCTGCCTCTATCTCTCTCTCCTCCTCCTCCTTCTCCTCCTCGCCATCCGATCCCTCATGTCCATCCCCGAGTTCTCCCTCCGCCTCCAGCGTGGTACGTTCACCGCCCTTGCTCCCCGCACCGTAGCCCACAGCGAGCTCACCCGTCCGCACAGGCATCACCGGCGGCTTCGCGCCCCCCACCCCCAACGCGATCGTCACCATCACCGGCATCCCAGCCCAGAATCTCCTCAACATCACCAGCGCAGTCCGCCCCATGGGCACTCCCTCGCTCCAGGACGCCCTGCCCAAGTCTATCTCCGCCGCGGACGCACACACCGCCCAGCTCGTCGCCGAGCTCAAGTCCATCCTCGGCACCATCCCCACCGAGTCTCCTCCCGGCAGCCAGGACATTTACGGGCTCGACACCAGCATCGCCTTCGGGAGCGACGATCTCGTCTGGCAGAACGGCGGGCCCCAAGGCTGTGGACAGGGCGTGAGCGAGGTCCAGCCGACCCCCGACGACAAGGCAAAGTTCAAACGGGCGATAGAGATCGTGCAGGAGCTTCAGGCAAAGGACGCGTAGATGGACATAGGGCAGCGCATGCATTTGTATACCAGGTGTTTGTACAAGTTATACACGACACACAGCGGACAGTCCATG